TGTCCTCCCCACGCCATCAGCTTCTTTCGGCCAGTTACTCATGTCAGTGCACTGTTCCCATCTCCCTCCCCAGTATCTCATCATGCCTGAGACATTTCAGGGTCAGGGTTTGGGGGTTTTTTTCCCCTTGAGTCAAAGAACAGTATGTAGACTAGGGAGAATTGTGAGAGGAAAGGGTAAGTGTTGGGGAATGGGTAGAAGATGATTTCTCTCAGCTTTTGTTCTCAGATACGCTCCTAACAGCGGGGCAGGGTTAACTGGGCTTTTGGGGATCTCCAAGTACAGCCCTCCTGGTTTACAGAGAGAGAGAGAGAGAGAGAGAGAGAGAGAGAGAGAGACTTGCCCAAAGACACACAGCCACCCAGGCAAGGAGGCACCACATGGCAGAGTCAGGAGGGGCCCTTGGGGATCGCACAGTTCCACTTTCTTGTCCTTTCTGTAGCCTCCATCCACTTCAGCTGCATCCCCACACGTACCCATTGGTATCCCCTGTCTTTACACAGGCACCTAGCAGGAGACGGGAGAGGGTGAGGATAAGCCTCCCCCCCGCACCTGTAAGAAGTATGAGACTCCCGAGAGGTGGGAGAGGGACACAAGGCCACACAGCTCGGTGGGCGGCCAGGGATGTGAACCCTGTTTGGCCCTATAGCATCCCTGTATGCCCAGCAGTGGAGGAAGTGGGAGACCCCTAAGGAGGGAATGAGGGGGAAAGCTGGAGTTGAAGAAGCACCTCTCTGGTGGACACAGATGGTTTTATTTATTTATGTTTCGTTAATCATCACCTGAGGATATTTCTTCCATTGATTTTTAGAGAGACTGGGAAGGAGGAAGGGAGGGAGGGAGAGGGAGTGAGAAAGAGAAACATCAATGTGAGAGAGTCACATTGATTGGTTGCCTTCCACACACACCTCAACTGGGGCCAGGGATCGAACCTGCAATCCAGGTACCTTTGACCAGGAATTGAACCCATGACCCTTCTGTGCGTGGGATGGTGCTCTAACCATTGAGAACACTAGCCAGGGCTGGACTCTGATTTTTTTAAAAACTTCCCTGGAGTGGGGAGGGGAGCTCCTCCCCACAGCCTGCCCATTCCCAATGGGAAGCCCCACCCTCCTGGAATCTCTCCCAGGTGTGACCTGTGCCCCAAGGGGCATCAGCGTCCTCTCCACATTTGAGGGGCTTGCTGGCCTGACTTTGCCTGAAAGCATCCGAAGGGGTGGATTAGCCTTTGGGCAGCTGTGGTTGCCTCTGGCCACTTGTCTCTGGAGCCCTTTCTCAGCGCCTGGAGCTCTCTCCTGTTACCTGTCCGATCCCCGTATTTTACAGAGCAACCGAAGGCCAGAGAGGGAAGGACTTTTCCCAGGTCACACAGCAAGTCAGTTCAGTTCCGTGTACTCTCTTGGCCTTCTGCTCCGCTGCCTTGTTTGATGTGAGGCCCCTTCTGAAGGGCAGTGCCTAGAAGGTGGGGGTTAGACCTTAGCTGTGGCCTGCAGTTAGTGGGTGTGAATATGTCTGCTGGTTGCTTAAATGAACACGGAATGTGTGCTCCTTTTTAAAAAAAAAATTTTTTTTATTGATTTCAGAGAGGAAGGGAGAGGGAGAGAGAGATGGAAACATCAATGATGAGAGAGAATCGTTGACCGGCTGCCTCCTGCATGCCCCACACTGGGGACCGAGCCCACAACCCGGGCATGTGCCCTAACGGGGAATCAAACTGTGACCTCCTGGTTCGGAGGTCGATGCTCAACCACTGAGCTACACCGCCCGGGCGGAATGTGTGCTCCTTTAGTGGGGAGAGCAGCTCTCCCCAGACAACCTGATTTGTACACGATCGGCAGCACTTTGAGTCCCTGCCCAGCTATCCCTCAGTGCCCCCCAGTGCCAGCCCCCACTGACAGGCAGAGACCATTTAGTGCCCTGACACCTCGGACAGGAAAACTGCTGGAGCACAAGGACTCCTGGCAGGGGACTCTGTAGTCCTTCATCACGGAGGCACTAAAAGGTTAAGTCTCATGAACAATGGCTGGTGCCCTGGGGCGCTAGGCACATGCTGGTGTTGGGGACACAGAGGTCCACACAGGTCTCTGCCCTGGAGGAGCAGGGAAGGGAATGACAAGTGCACTGGTAGCTATGGTAACAGGGTGGTCTGAGGCAGCATCCAGGAGGTGTGCGCGACCTGAGCTGGACCTGGACATGCTGATCAGACTTAGACCCGTCTTCGCCATCTTCGCCGTCGTTCAGTCAGCACGCACTCTTGACCCCAGCATGTACAGGGCTCTGTGCTCCGCAGGGAGGAGAAGAGCCACAGTGCCTCCTGCCAAGGCTGGGCTAGGGGCCCCCCAGGGCTTCCCTTGGCACAGTCCTCATCTCCCCGCGTTGTTATTTCCTGGTGTGGGGTCTGCTTTTCTTCCTTCTCTGCTCCGTGAGCCCCTCAAGGGCAGGGACTAGCAATCTTGTTCTCTGCTTTGTCTCCAGTGCCCAGCCCTGGGCCACCTGGCATGTGAGCCTTGGTTCCATTTTGTGAAAATTGAACCTAGTGAGGTCAGGGTTCTATATAGCCACAGCCTTCTCCATCCTCCCCTGCTCAGGAGCCTCTGGATTCGATTCTCTCCCCATCCCCCACCGTCCCCCAGATTCTGGCCAAGTCATGAAAGCTGGGGAGGGCGGTGGGAGGAGGAAGGTGAGACAGGATGGCTTAGCAGAGGGTGAGAAAGCCTCCCTGCTGCCTGGCCACCGGCACCATGGGAATGGTTCTGGCAGGAGCTGCCTGCTGGGCTGAGATCACCATGGAGACCCGGCTTGGAGAGGGTCACTGGCAGTGGCTACGGGCTGGAGGGGGTGGGGGTGACAGGGATTTGTGAGGAGGCTCCCAGCCTGCCCTGGGGCCCTTCAGGGGAGCAGGAGAGGCTGGGGTTTGGTAGAATTCACTTGCTAAGTGATTTGGAGCAGCCCATTCTAAGTCTCCCCCTCTCTTGTCTCCCCAACACATTATACCCATCACCCCAACAGGAGGTTCCTGAGCTCAGCAGCTGTTTTTAAACTGCATAGAACTGTCCTGCAGATCGGTGCCTCCAGCCCTTCAGCTGCACCTTTCCCCCACATCTAACAGGCCTGCCTAATGGACACCCTGCTTATCTCTGCAGCTGCTCCTGTTTATCACCCCACCTGTGGCGAACTGGCATCCATCCCACCGCACCCCTTGCCCCAAGAGCTGCTTTTCCACCAATCCCCCCAGTCGCAATATAGCTGTCACCCTGCCTGGCATACCTCTTACCCCCGCGGCTAATGTTCCATCCTCCCCTCCCCTGCAGGAGACCTGACAGCTTAACAAAGATGCAGCTCCCACCCTCCCCCTCACATCTCTGTTTGCCACCTGGGCTGAGGCACCCCGGTGGGGTGCTGCTCCCACCACCTTCCGGGAACCCACCTGGGTCCTCTGGCCTTGGGGGAGTACTGGCAAGTCCAACCTCAGGACAGAAGTCTTCCCCGGGGCTGACTGCCCAGCAGACAACAGCCGAGGCTGAGCAGAATTTAAATGTGGCCTGTTGGGAAGGGAAGCCAAGAAGAGGACAAGGGAGGAGAGGCTTTCTGTGGCTGCCGGTGCCTGCAGGGTGGGGGATGGTGGGCTGGCTTGCTGAGGAGTCGGAGAAGGTGTTTTTAACACCCTCACCTGCCCCTGAATTCTGGTGGGACGGTCACTCACCAAGTGTGGGAGATGTGAATTTCAGGCTCTGAGAGGACAGAACTCTGAAAGGGTCAGGCTAATGACTGGGCGTCTTGAGAATGACTGAGCCCATCCCTGTCCCTCTGGGCACCTTCCTGCTCATCCCAGCAAAGCTGGGGTCTGGGTAGGGAGTCAGTAACCCCGGGGCCCTTCTAGGGAAAGGGGTACTCCAGCCCTCCAGTGTCTGGTGGTTGTAGGGACTGGGGACTTGGGGGTTCCTGAGCTTCTGGAAGGCAGGAGGTGCAGCCAAACACAGATGGTATTGTGTTGGGCAATTTCTTTATTCCTTTATTCAGACAGACTTCCTCCTCACCTCACCTCTCTGAGGAACAGAATGGCATCGGTGGGGGCTGGGAAGAGGGTTCGATTTAGAAGAAATTAAAGCGGCAGTTCACACCTGTGCTGTGCTAAGGCCCCATCTTCTCCATTGTGTCATTTCTCAGAACAGCCTCGGTTGGAGGAATTACTAAACTCATTGTTGCATGAGGAAACCCAGCCTTGGAGAGCCTAGCTGGCCCAGGCCCCGGGAAAAGAATAGCAACTAGTAATTAGTGTCATTTATTATGCATTTATGTACCAGGCTTAATCTGCCTTGAACCACTAACTCCTCCCAACAAACCTATGGAATAGTTCTGTTGTCCCCTTTTTACAGATGAGTAAACTGAGGCTCACAGAAGATTCACCAACTTGCCCAAGGTCATAGAGCTATTAATGGTGGTGCTAGCATTTGAACTTAGCTGTGTCTGGTTCTAGAGTTCAAGTTCTCTCTCTCTCTCTCTCTCTTTTTAATATATTTGTATTCATTTCAGAGAAGAAGGGAGAGGGAGAGAGAGATAGAAACATCAATGATAAGAGAATTATTGATTGGGGGCTTGCAGGACACCCCACATTGGGGATTGAGCCTGCAACCCGGGCATGTGCCCTGACTGGGAATTGAACCATGACCTCCTGGTTCATAAGTTGACGCTCAACCTCTGAGCCATGCCAGCCATGCTAGAGTTCAAGTTTTGGAACTCCAACCACTCACCCAGCACATCCTTTACCTCTCAATGGCCTTGGACCACACATGATTTTACAGATGGAGAAACTGGGCTCAGAGAAAGCCAGGAGCAGCCCAGAGTTTCATGGGGAACTGTTTGGAGAAGGAACAATGGGGTTAGCTTCTCCCAGAATCCTGGTAGGAACTGGGTGTGGTCCCACACTTAGCCTCCCTGTTCTCAGAGCTCAGTGTCTGCCTGCTGCTGACTTCTGTCTCTTCTCTTATGTTTCTTTGCAGCTTTCAGAAAATCAACGCCAAGACCCCTCCCAGCGTCCACATCGTCCTCTGGCAGGAGCGCTTGCCCCTCTGCCTCCCGCCCCACCCCACCTGCACCCCCCTGCAGCCCCATCTCCTC